ACTAAATCTCTTCACCACCAAGAGATGTCTAAGAAGCATTTTCAGCTCCCTTATCCTTACAAAAAAGGCATCTTTGAGCTCAACTGCTTTAGGCCAGGAAGATGTCGTATGCTGCTGCTTCTGGAGAAAGGAAGTTTCTATTTTAAAATGTTCCAGTACCATGACAGTCAGGGGTCAGACAGATGGACAGACTCATAGGCAGGGAGCAAAATAGCCACCAGGTATATAACCCCTCTGCATCTTTTGACATTGTGCACTCTTCTATGTATAAATCCTCACTTGGTTACATATTTCTGAAGCTTACGGGAGGAAAAAAAAATGAAACAACAACTTAAATATAGAACAGAGGCACAAATGCTTCTTGGGATGAATAAATTATGGATATACGCAAGTGAGAGAATGTGTGTGTTCATGAGTGAATGACACACAGGCCTGGGCCAGCAGTAATAGCAGCAGGAGGTATAATTTCACATGCTGCCAACTCTAGCGTAGCAGAGCATGGCAGGAAGAAGTGATTGAAAGGAGGGCAGGGAGGAGATGCCCTTTGTGACTTTATAGTTAAAAAACAAAACCAAACCCAGGAAAAAAACCTCCCAAACCTCATAACAGTGTTCTAAAACAAAAACATGGCTGATGCCTTTGCTTAGACAGGACTATTTAAAAGAGAATCAGAGCAGAGGTCATACCCCTCCACCTCCAAAAGAAGGATGCAAACCTTTTCCTTCCCTGTTTTCTTCTATATCCGGCCTCAGAGATCTACCCTCACAGTCTACATTCCCCAATCTTGAGTTGCTATATAGTAGCCACTGTCTTTTTAAGAGAGACAAGCTGATTGTAAATGTCCCATAGACATATAGGGCCAGATCCTACTTCACCTATTGGGAACCTCAGTGTGATCCCATTCCACCATAGTTCCTGGAAAAAAGTTCTCATGCCTGCTTTTGCAGTGGGCCATCATCTGAGCCCTAAGACTAAATCACAAAATGCAGTAAGCAGAAAGAGAATGCATACACCTTTTGCATTAGCTGTTTTCAGGGGCTCAAGCAGGGATCTCACTTAGGTACCTAATAAGTGACTAGAAACTGGCCCAGTCGCTGGAACTCTTCACCAGCAGGTAATTCACTTGTTGATTAAAAAGAATAACAGCTATCAAATACCTGTCTATTCTATCATCTGCCTGTACTGTAAGATACAGAACTGAACGCGAGCAAGTTTAACTTGTTATTCACATTCACTTAGTACAGAGCTTGGGCCAGACTCTTGTTCTGTTGTATTGCAAAGGTTTCCTTAATTTTAAGTGCACACCTGGGTTTGGCTCTTATACAGAGGGTTTTGGCACTGGCATAAGAAGCAGAGTTGGTGCCCAGAGCAAGGCCTGTGGAAGAGGTGGGGGAGGGAGGACACAAGGTTTCAAGAACAGGGGTGAGGGAGACGGGAAATGGTTCTGAGAGCTGCTTGGGGGAGAAAGCACATGAGTTCCAAGAGCAGGGGGGACAGGGAGGGCACATGGATCCAAGAGCGGGGAAGGACACAGGTCCAAGGTGGGTGGGGGTGACTGAAGGGGTGCACAATTCCAAGAACAGAGGTGGGGGAGGCAGCAGTCTTACCCATGCTGGGAACTCCTAAACAGTCCCCAACTGAGCTGCTGCCACCACTACCACATATTCTGCCTGCCCCAGAGGTTTCTCTAAAACAGCAGCAGCAGCAGCCAGGGGCTGTTTTGGAGTTCCCTGTATTCATATTAGGGGGGGGTGAAGCAGGCCCTATTCGATTCGGATTTGGATTCGGCCTGAATCGGGGACAGTGATTTGAGTCATTGATTCGGATCACTGTCCTTGATTTGATTCGGCTGAATCCCAATCTGAAGATTCGATCAGCACTTCGGACATAGACACAGCTTTAAAAGTTTTTTTCTACATACCTTGAGGTAGCAGCATGACTCGTGAACGCTGCAGTGCTGGGGTGCATGGAGCATCCCATGGGAGTGCAGGAGGGCCCCCCACGTGCTCGGTGGTGAAACCAGAAGTGGACTGGAAGTTCTTCTGGTCCACTTCTGGGTCTGCTGGGGAACATGCTGGCCCCCCGGCGCCCCCACCTCTTTGGCTCAGCAATCAGCTGCAGGGGGACCCTGGGTGCCCCTCCCCCCCCGACCCAGGAGGCACCAATTGCCAAGCCAGGGGAGTGCGGGGTCTCCCTGGCGGACCCAGAAGTGGACCAGACGTGCTTCTGGGTCTGCTGCTGAGCATGCTGGGGAGCCCCCTGCACTCCTGTGTGATTCTCCATCCGCCCCAGTATCGCAGCACTCATGAGCCCCTGCTACCTAGAGGTATGTAGAAAAAACATTTAAAGCTGTGTCTCCACTGAATTTAGTCTGAATCGCCGGAGCTTTCTGAATCTCTCTGAATCGATTTGGAGGGTTCCAATTTGATTCGGAGAGATTAAAGGGTCCCCTGATTCAATTCGGATTTGGAGATTTGGCCACTGAATCGGGTTGAATCTTCACTGAATTGAATCAGGGACCGAAGCTTCACACAGCCCTAAAGGATATGCTGCTGGGGCATGGACTCCATAGGGTTGGGGGGTTATTTTAGCACCCCTCCTAACTCCGCACCTGGAGCGGGTGCCTCTCTTACCTGCCCCTAGTTACGCAGCTATATTTTGGGTGACATAAATTTGGTATAGCTAAGCATCTAGCCAATTATGTGTGTGTATGTGCAGGCACTTGCAATGCAGGGTGTTCAGCTGCTCCCATGCGGGCCCTGTTGTTTCACATTATGTACATGCATGTAAAAAGAAACACTCCAGGTCCCAACATCTTACAAGCTGATTTATATAGGCATAAGTACTGTGGATGAAATTTTGGCCCTGGTGAAGTCCATGACAAAACACCCTTGGTATTTCACCTTTGGTATTTAATATGTGATGCTGGTATTGATGTTGTTATACACAGACCACATAGACTAGCCACAGGCATCTGATAACAGAGATAGAATTCCTGCTTTTCAGTTCCAAAAACACCTTCCACAAGCAGCTAATGCTTGAGATAACAGAGCTAGCCAATAGCACTCTCAACAGGCCCCAAGTAACAAGACCATTACAGTCCACTAAACATGTCAACATACCTGACTATGCAGGAGAGGGACTGTGTTACTTCAATATGCAGCCCGCTATATTTTATATAAAGTCCAAGTCCTGTCTTTAGCCAGTAAATAAAAAACAAACAAACAAAAAATCAACTGTAATGACCTCTGTGTAGTCTTTAATGCATATTTCTTGTTATCACAAACAGCAACTGTATGTTTCCACCGGATCCACATTTTGTGACTAGAATAGCAGGGTATAGCCAGGCCCTTATAGCGGGAGCTGTAACAAGCTCATATACTTAATGCGTCCACCTCATATTGATGCATACTGACCAGTGAGTTACATTTGCATTCTGTTAGACTCTTATGGGACTTGACATGCTTCGTTAGAGAGAGAAGGTCCTGCTCATGAAAAGCTGTCGCTCCTAAAGCCTTAGGCCCTGATTGTCAGCTGGTAGGAATTGGCCTCTGTGAAGTGCTCTTGGTCCACACAAGCTGCTATTCCTGCCCTTAGTATTTTGGTCTGTTTCATTGCTTTTTTTTAACACATAACCCAACATCCTTCTGCCTGACCCTCATCTGACATTTTAGGATTTGCTATGTCTTACCTCCTAATATAATCTCTAATTTGCATTTCTGACTCTCCTGCTTTATGCCTTTTCCCTGTGCACCATGAGGCTTCCTCCTTCTCCTCCTAATCAGTGTTTAAAGCCTACAAGCTTTAAACACTGATTTAAGCATGTTTATCACCTCTTGGAAAATAGGCCTAATTCCTCCTCTCAGCTGCACACAGGTAGTTCTGATGAACATCGCTGGGAGTTGTGTGTGCCCCCTTCCTTCCAGGGCAGCAGCCCTCTTACCATGTATAGATGAAATAGGATTTAGTCCAATGTCTATAATGATCTGTAATTAAGAAAGAATAGTATGGCATACCTGGCGAAAGGTGTACTGGCTACAGCAATGGAGACCAAAGGTTAAAAATCCTGCTTGACTTGTTTCTTTTTTAGTGTGTGAGGACAGATTATCCCTCTCTTGTGACACTTGATGGGCTTGTCTGTTTAATATTGGTATGGGAGCATGAGCTGCCCATGCTGGTAACACAGGTCTATTCTCAAGGCTGCCATATAAATGGGCTATCATGACTGCAGCAAGGAGAGTTGCCTCTGGGGCAGGTAGCTGCTGCATTGGTTGCTGGTAAGCAGAGCATTCAGCAGTCCTTGCTAAACCTCATAAAGGTACTCACATTTTAGTCTTATTGTATAGCAGGCTGGGGATTGAATGCCTAAATTCTCTCTCCAAGGGAAGCAAGAATAAGAACAGCCGCTGGCTATCTGGAAAGCTTTGAGAAGGAAGCATCCCGGTGTGACCTTGCATTTAGGGTTGGATTTTCAAAAGCCCCTAGTTCAGCAAAAGGCCTAACTTTAAGCCTGCAAGTCAGATGATTTTTTTTTCAATATGATTTGGGCCCCTAGCTCTCTCAGATGCTTTTGAAAATCTTACTCTTAATCTCTTAGATAGGTCTGAGCATAACAAGGTATTTAAGCAGGTTCCTGGTTTTGAGCTTGTGAGCTGTCCTGTCTGACTTCTCTAATGTTCTCAAATGTTGGCAGTAGTTATTACCTTTCGTAGAAAAAAATCAAGTTGATTTCAGCAGGACCGCTTGTGTGTTTAAAGGTTGGCAGCTGGTTGATTTGAGATACTAATCACTTAGGCTCTGATCCTGCAAATATTTGCATGTATAGTTAAGTGTGCTACTCAGAATGGGCCAGTTCACCTCAGTAGAACTACTCATAGTCATAAGGTTAAGCACTTGCGTAAATGCAAGCAGACTAGGTTTTTGCTCTCTCAGTCCCATCTCTAAACCGAGGATAATAATGCTCCTGACCTCCATTTCTCCTTTTCAGCACAGTTCATTCATTTCAACTCTAGTTATTTGATTTTCTTCTTTTGACCACATTACAAGCCTTTCTCATGCCTCACATGATAGGAGAGACTGAAGGAGCTAGGCATATTCAGCTTGCAAAATGTTTCAGAGGGGACATGATAGCAGTCTTCAAATACTTGAAGGGCTGTCATGAAGAAGAGGGAAAGTACCTTTTCTGTCTTGCTGCAGAGAGGAGGACATAGACCAATGGCTCTAAGTTGCAGCAAAGTTGAGATCAGATATCTGGAAAAACTTCTTCACTTCTAGAATAGTGACACAGTGGGACAGACTGCCAAGGGAAGCTGTGGACTCCATCACTGGAGTTGTTCAAGACGAGGTTGGCCAGCTACTGGTTGGGAACGATCTAGCCATAGCTATGCCTATGTTCTACTATGGGTATTTCCCAGACTTCTGGCCTTTTCTGGTTGTCCCTGCTGCTCCCATCTTCCTGCTAGATGTGTCAGGATGTTTCTAAGACTTCCTCAGAGGCATTAAGTGTTGGCTACAGCCAAGGCTGGGGACTTCGACTGGGGTGTCCCAATGCTCTTTTTGGGACCAAAGCCAGAGGTTCCTGGCTAGAGGGTCTTGCCCTTGTGCTCAGAGTCAGACCTAACACCATATTTGGGGTCAGGAAAGAATTTTACCCCATGGTCAGATTGGTGTGGATTGTGGGGGCTTTTGTTTGCCTTCCTCTGTAGCAGGGGATGGGACAAGATCTACCTGGGACCTCTTGAGCATATATTGATAACATTTCATAGAGGCAGGACATTGTCTACTGTGGTTCCCCTGCTTTACCTATAGCAGGTTAGTGTGTTAGGTCTATGTTGTGTCAAGGTTAATGGTACCCTTATGTAGAGTTAAGCTTATGGATTGTATAGGATCATTTGGATAGGGATGCTCCTGCCTCAGGCAGGGTGTACAACTCGATGATCTCTGGAGGTCCCTTCCAGACCTACTTCTCTATGATAATGCTGTCTGTCACCTCATGGTAGAAAACTTTAATTCCCCGCTAAACCTTACCAGCTGGTTCTGCCCTCCCAGCTTTCTGTAGCAAAGGACCATCATTTAACATGATCTTGATTATATGTAATAGCTAGTGCATACTGGCTGCAACCCCATTGTGCTGGCAACTTACCAGAGGATTTCTCCTTTGAAGATCTCCAAAAATGTTGTAAAATATGAATATTCTAAAATAATAAAGTACCCTGAATTACAAGCCTGGAACTGAGCCCATTACAGGGGCAAATATTTGTATCTCAGTTAACAGTGTGAGGAAGGGGGCGGTAAACAAAAACAGCCAATGCCTTATCTGTTGTGAAAACTCCATTTAGTGACTTAGTTTTCATTATAAATACTAACCACAGTCAACATTAGAAAATGCATGTCTCTTCTTTATAGCAATGGGTGAAGTTGTGAAGGGCAGACATTTTAAATTCTCATAAATGTGGAATTAAAGCATTGCTCTTAGGGAGATGGGAGATTGATGAAATATTACTCATTTTTATCAGCCTAATATACTTTTTGCAGTACCCTGTCAACAGTGCTACATCTCCCTTCAGGTATGTTAGTTGTCCTTCTTGCACATACCATTATTTTCTTTATTTAAAATGCAGCAGGCTGTCCATCTCTTGATGGAACAGGGAACGCATCTGGTAAATATAAGGGTCTACTACTTTAAGCCTCTAGTTGCATAATAAAACTGTTACTTGAGGTAATATTGGATCCAGTTCTCAGCACTTTTTTCTGACTCCCTGTGTGACCTGTTAATCTTCCTGAAGCTAATGTTTCTATTTGCATAATAGGGTGGCTATTTCTTTCCCTCCTTTATGTGCTTCAGGACAGGAACAGCATCTCACTATGTGTTTTGTACCTGAAACAGTGGGACCCTGATCTTCGTTGGAGCATCTGACTGCATCTGAGATGAATAGTCTCACAGAAATCTGTGTGGCTATCTGAGCGTGTAAAATTACTCACCTGAGAGAGGCTTATGGCAATTTGGATTTTAATGCAGCATTAGTGGACTCTCTAGTTAAAAAAAAAAAAAAGAATTTAGCTTTTCATACACAAGAAGCAGGAGGAAACTTGGGGAATTACCACTCAGGACAATAACTAGAAAGGCTTTTGACTGGGATGAATTTGGTGAACCCCATAGCACTACTGAAGTGATATAGTTCACTTCTTTGTGCACTGTAAAAGAATATCCTGGAGTGCAAGCTGATATAGGTCTCTGCAGGTTTTGCCTACATTAGTTTGAATGCTTAGCAGCGCTATGACTCAAGGACAACATGCTCTATCCATAGCTGAGGCCTGAATATGTGGATCCTCTCTTGTGTGGGGAGAAGAAATTGAACTGGGCCTCAGTGGAAAAGGGAATAATAGAAGAAATAAAGTGTGTGCTCGAGAAGTTAAGAGATGTGCTCCTTTTTCTGTGTGCTGTTTTTGTTCCTGTTGGGGCTGTTTCCACCATTGAGTCTAATTACTTAGCTCTTTATGCACTATCCATTTCTTTTCATCATTTTAAAAACTTCAGTTGCTATAACAACATAATGCAATCAGTGAAACATAGCAGCTATTTTCTGTAGTTAAGGTCTGTGTGCTGTCAAGGATGTGAGCCATTTAAGCAAATCTTCCCCTTCTCCTCACCCCCTCCCTTTCCTTCTCTCTCACTCTCTTTTTCTCTAAACAAGCTCGTAATGGGAAGGATAAACCATCAGGAATAATTAGACACAATAGTGGAGTGAATCCCAATAGCACTAGTGCAGACTAGCCTAATGAACTTCTAGCAATAATCCTGGAAGTGTTGATGTTCCTTTTTAATCACTTCTTTGATGTCATAGATAGATTAGCTATAGCAGGACCTCAATAATTTGCACTAATGTCAGGAGACCTGTTGCGAATTAATGAGAAAAAGAATAAAACCCAAGGATTCATCATGGCAAAATATACTTTGTTCATTTTTGTCAATTGTCTTTTATTTCAAACATTAATGAATAGATGCACTCCCTACTATATTAGTTAGTATAATGCAGTCTGTTTGGTAAATTAATGGAAGTTTAATCCTGTGAAACTTCATAACATCTATTATTAAAGCTTTGCTGAAAAACTGGAAGAGACCTCCACAGTTTTGTGTGGGTGATGAGACATGCAACTTTATAGTGCAGCTGCTATAAGCTAAGCTTATATAGTGCACACATTAAAATAGCCTGAAAATAAACCTAGCAACCTGAGAGCTATTCCAAGCTGTGCAAATATCAGATCCATTCTCAGTGTTTTACTCCTTGCTGTGATATGCCTCAACTTGACTTCAGTGGGAGTTTGCCTGAATAGCAAAAAGTGAATTTAAGAACCCATATGGTCTATATAATGGCAAAGCATTTAGCTGTGTGCTTTATGCTATGGATGTGCCCCACTGTGTGAAGATCAGAGTGAAGATGGGATTAAGAGATGGTTATCAAGGTGTTTCTTACCCATTCATTTTCTTTTCCTTGTTGCATTTGTTTTTCCAGCACACTCTCCAAGCAAAGAAAAAACGTCATCAGCTGTGTCACCGTGCACGATTCCCCCTACTCCGATTCCTCCAGCAACAACAGCCCCTATGCAGTGCAGCAGCGCGGGGGACAGAATAATGGGAACACCTATGACACAAAAGGGGTTCCAGAAACCCACTGCAGCGGGAACCCACGAACTATAATCGTGCCACCACTGAAAACCCAGGCCAGTGAGGTGCTGGTAGAGTGCGATAGCCTGGCACCAGGTAAACTGCACTTCTTGCCCCAGAGAAATAATAAGAAATAAACTATAATTTTTGAAGAATCTCATGGTTCAGGTTTTTTGTTTTTTATCTTTTTTTTTTTTTTTTTTTTTAAGAATGCTGTGCTCCTTCCTTTCTCCCACTTCCCACAATTTGTCCTTGGGGGGCATATTGCATTGCTGGTGGGATGGACAGAGAGGGGCTTGAATGTGGTTGGGAGTCACAGGGTTAAATGGTGTTCTCAGTCACATTAGCAGTGATGTAGGAATAGTATGTAACCCGTAGTGCAAACCTTGACGGTGAGCCTCACATCAATGAGAGTCATTCTTGATCTACCCTTCAGTGTTAAATATGTTTGTTTTCAAGTGGATGGATCCATGGAATTGTTTTCCATCTACACTTGCTAATGTGTCCAGGAAGAATAATTCCTCAGACCCCTCTGGACTGGGTATGTCTGGCTGCTTAACCACGTTCAGCTACTCCACTGTTCTGGATAACCCAAAAAGTTGAAAAGGGGACTCTTTGGTGGGCCTTGCCTTGGATGCTGGGCTGTAAGCTGTGTGAGGATCCATGTATTTCAGATGTTGCTTGTGTAGGACAGGCATCAAGACTCAGCGTGTTGGGCATCTCCTTGTTTTCCCTCTTTTCCTGCCTTTTCAGAGAGGCAGACCAGGCGATGTGTTTTCCTTGATCTCTGCCCCAAGTCACTATCATTTCCTGTCCTCCATAGCCTCCTGCTGTTTCCTCAGCAGATCAGTCCCTGGCATCTCCGCAGGGTTTTACGCACTCTCCTCCAGACCCAATTTGGGATTCGCATGCAGAGTTTGTGTTGTGACCTCTGGGGTAACAGGCATGTTTATGAGCTCTCAGAGGGCACTGTTGTTCAACCTGTTCTTGTAAGCAGGAGACAGTGTGGTGATTCTCCTTCCAAAAGTCACCTAGAGGAGACTTGGTGAGAGAAGGGTTGGGTAGAAAATATAAAATATGATTTAAGCTACAAATATGTTTCCTTTCCTGGCACAGTCACCACCAGTCACCACTCATCATCCTACAAGTCCAAGTCCTCCAGCACCGTGACCTCCACAAGTGGTCACTCTTCAGGGAGCTCATCTGGAGCTGTTGCATACAGGCAGCAGCGACCAGGAGCACATTTCCAGCAGCAACAGCCTCTTAATCTAAGCCAGGTAAGTAAACCGGGAAAGAGGCAGAATGTAAGCCCCTGAATTACTGTAGCAGTCTGTCACTTTCTGCTGAAGTTAAGAGCCACGGAGGGTGGTGGATGAATCTGCTACAGACTGATGAAGACAGCCTCATCGTTTAGTCCTGGCAGTAGAAACTCTCATTTTTAGATCCACAAGTCCCGAAGTCCAGTGCTACTGCTTACCAGCCGCCTGGAAGCACCGCATTGTACACACAATGTTTTTCACAAGTAAGACGGCTTAACCTTGTTAGAGAAATGGATAACATAGGCAAGTGTGTTGGTGCCCTGATTATTAGGGGAGAGGGATAGGATGGGGTGGGGTGGGGTGGGATGGGATGGGATGGAAAGGGGGGCTGGATTCATGTCAAGTATAGGCTCTTGAGATATGAGGCAGCCTTTCAAGTGATGATTGATGGGAAGAGATGGTGAGACTCTAGGTTTGAGTGAGGGAAAGATTTCCAGTCAGAGGCGGCAAACAAAGGCTGAGCAGATGTGTGCATACAGAACAAGTTGGTAACTCATGGATTTCAATGTAGTTGGTACTGATTCCTGATCTGTTTAAAGATGGCTTTTAATGGGAGCCAAGATTTAGATGTGCTCTGATGGATGAACGTCATGCAAGGGTTAAGGTGGTTCTCAATCTGTTAGCAGCACACCAAGGGTGCTGCCCAGGAGCCTCAGGGAAGAATCTCCTTTGTGTTCACTGTACCTGAAACCTGTCTCTTCTTTACAGTGATGTAATTGCACTAGGGAAATAACAGCAAAATTTCCAAGATTTGAGGAGTGGAAACTCACAGTGAGAGTTTTTGACTTTTGTACAGAGCAGAATAAAAGAAGAGCTGGTCAAAAATGGTGAAAAGTATCCAGCAAGAACTTCCCTCCCTCCCTCCCCTTCTGCCCCTCCCCCCGAATTCAATTGAGCGTTTGAAAAAATTCAACCAGTGCTAAATAAAATTAAGCTAATGTGGTAGGAGGTGGAGATGATGGCATCATGCTTCCAAAAGTCAGAGTATAGGGTGGCTTGCAGTATTTTGAACCAGAAAGATTACTGAAGAGGATGAAAGAGAACTGATAGATAGAAGTAAATAATAAAGAACAGCATGTGTGATGCTTGTCTTCCAATTCTTGTTTCATGATCTCCTGAATGGTTCCTTAATATTTTACCTGGATGCATAGTAATCATAAATGACTGAGAAAATCCACTCAATGCAAGCCTTCAGTGAAAGGGCCAAGCTGAGAAAATCCATAGTGGGTGTGAAGAATGCAACTTGTCCCTGTGAAAAATAGAAGCTGCCCATCCTCAAGAAGTTAGAGGTGATAATGGGAAGATACCAGAAGGAGAAAGTTTTGAGGATCTGGTAGGACAGGGACGCTGCTAGATGAATATTAAAATGTTATCTTGCTAATCAAGGAGTAGCAAAACCAAAACTTTTAAAAAAGAAATAACGTTGTCTCTAGTCAGGATCTTTCTTCAGCATTAAGTTCACTGTCAATATTTAAAAAGACCTGTGCTGTCTGAGCTAACCCATCTTCTTGAAATACAGGGATCCAATAATGGGGCTTTATGTTTGCTGACCCTATTGGTAAGAGGGAGAACTGTGCAAGAAGGTACGACACCCGGTACTGTGCTCTAGTGAAGTGTTCAAATGTGCACATGGAAAATCAGGTGTGAGTGGGCTTTGAAGGGACCTTATACAGCCCTGTGGCCTCCGAGGGAAGTTTATTTTGAGACTGAGACTTTGAGGAGGATTGGTTCTAGAAGGGACATTCGGTTACCCCCCAGTGGTCAAATAAATAAATAAATAAAATAAAACAAGCTGTTGTCTTGTAACTGTCTTTTATTGTTATTCTTTTTGTCCAGGCCCAGCAGCACATCACAACAGATCGCACAGGGAGTCACCGACGACAGCAAGCCTACATCACTCCAACAATAGCTCAGGCCCCGTACTCCTTCCCACACAATAGTCCCAGCCACGGTACAGTCCACCCCCACCTGGCCGCGGCTGCAGCTGCTCACCTACCTACCCAACCCCACCTCTACACGTACACTGCCCCTGCTGCACTTGGGTCTACAGGCACTGTTGCCCACCTGGTGGCCTCCCAAGGGTCTGCTCGTCATGCTGTGCAACACACCACCTACCCAGCCAGTATAGTCCACCAGGTTCCCGTCAGCATGGGCCCTCGAGTTCTACCATCACCCACCATCCACCCGAGTCAGTACCAGGCTCAGTTTGCCCATCAGACCTATATCAGTGCTTCTCCAGCCTCCACAGTCTACACTGGATACCCGCTGAGCCCCACTAAGGTCAACCAGTACCCTTACATCTAAACACTGGAATAAGAGAGAGAGACACCCACAAAGAGGGAGTGAGGTGGCTGCTTTTATATTGAAGAACATGACAAACAAACAATGCAATGAGAGGCTCCTGTGAAACTTGAACGAAGGAGTCTTTAAGGAAGAAATGAGAGAGGCAAGAAGGAGAAAACCAATTCTACACTTTTATTTAAAAAAAAAGAAAAAGGAAAAAAAGAACTGAAAAAAAACAAAAATAAAAAACACAAAAAAACCATTCTGCACCAAACTAGAGAGAGGGGGAAGCAGAGGGATCCCAAAGCTGGGTCCTGTGCTTTGGAGAACTTCACCAATAGACTTTTAAAGATTATTTTCATCTGATAGTGAGCTACATTTAATAATTTGTTGTCCAGAACGCCTAAAACAAAATCCACTAGGTTTTTAATTCAGTAAATATATGGATTAGGGATTTATCCAGAAGTTTGAAGGGTTTATGCCCCATCTTTGCACTGTTCTCCATAACCCTAATGGTGTGTGAGGTGTTTTCTGCAGAGAAGATAGAGGGAGGAGTGGGTGGGAGTGGCGGGGGGAGGAAGGGACCATTCCATCACTAGAAACTTCGGCCCAGCACTGATATGCTTAAAACACCCACACGCAAAATGGAACGACTATGTGACATTTGTCAAGATCAGAAGCAATGGGGCTATTTTCCCCTTTCTCTGAGCACCCTGGATAAATCCCTGAGAAATGTTATTCCTAAAAATCATCTTTAATAATGTATGTCGGATTTCAGTTTCTTGATTTTATTTGGAAAATGTATTGTTAATCCCTAGCCATTTTAATGTAGGAGTAGAAGTTTTAGCTGGCCCCCTGTCCCCAGGTAGAATGTAGCACTATACAGTACATACACCCTTTTTACTATTTTGTGTTGAACTTCAATGATACCAATAGACTATTCCTCAATGTGATTGCACAAAAAAAGTGATATAACATAGGCATGTAACAAATGTGATTGTCCAGGTGTGTGTGTGTGTGTGTGTGCGTGTGTGTGTGTGTGTGTGCGCGCGCAGATGCTGCCTTCTCTCTGTGGTGTGTTCCTCAGCACAGCCATTACAACTGTCACAGTCTTAGTTTTACACCATTCCCTCGTAGTGCCTTACCGAACTACAGATGCGGTTTAAGGGTTTACTTCCACTGGTACTCCTAGAAACTGACTGAGGCTAGTCGGAATTTAATCTCAGCTCTTCTTCTTTTGTTGTTGTTATTGTTGCTGATCATCTAGTTATTTTTTCCCCCATGCTGTCAATCTTAGATCATTTGCTAATGTGCAGGTATTGGGGAAGTTCATGGGAGTTGGAAGGGCATATGCATAAATGTCTGTTTAGCATAGTATGGGCTAAAAGTGACCCTATTGGTCATGAAACCCAGTACAGCTTCCTGAAGGGTGAAAGATTTCTTCTGTGGGTTGTTTTTCTTTTTTTTTTTTTTTTTTTAGTTTCTTGTTCAAATAACAAACTTCTCCATGTGAAACTTAATTCTCATTCTGCTGTTTGCTAACATTTGTGTCAGAGTAGAAGGACAGATTCCTCCAATCATTGCCGTGGAATATCAGGCACATTAAATAGTTTGTCTGGAGTGGGAACAAAGATTTAGCCCATTCAGTGGGGGAATACTGGTCCCTTAAAGAATTGTTTCACTAAATCTCCACAGATGGCGGGGAAAAAGGGGGAGCAAGAGCATGAGATAGAGATTCAGTCTAGATTGTCAGACTCAGGTTTTCTGAGTGCCGAGAGTATTTTGAGACATCAGGGCCCTACCCAATGTAATGTAGTTCTGACTGTATTCATTTCCCCTCTTCCTCAGCCAACTTGTAAAAACAAGTTCCTGTAGTGGTAGAATGCCTTTTCCACTTGGTAGATTAATTCTTACACTGGGTCCTCCGCTCCAAAGGAACTCTAAATGGTCTTGTTTTCAGATAGGTTTCCAAAGAGAGACTTTCTTACAATTGAGTGAGTTGGGGGCAAATCTCACTGATGAAAATGGATTTGCCACTGCATCAGTACTTAGAAGTGTTTCTAGAATACCCACATCCGCTTGTGGGCTTGTTGGGAAGGAGAGAAGAGACCAAGAAAAGAGAGTTTGGTGGCATACTTCCATTCAAGTTCTTAAGTCTACATGGCTACTCAGCACCACAGCTCTCCCTGTAACTACAGCAAGGCATGTTTACATTTTTTTTTAATATGCTGGACAATGGCAGGTCGATTCGGAGAGAGAGAAAGAATGATTCCCTTGGGTGGAGTTTAGAACAAAGGCCTCTCGAGGGAAATTCAAGAAAAACAAGCAGAGCTGTACTATCTTGTCGTGAGCACTTGCCCTCCCTGGAAGGGATCTCACTATGCATAGATGGTTGTATAAAACTGTCTTCTTTTGGCAAGCCAGTTACTAACCTTTGTGTTTGCCATTTCAAATTCCTGCGCTATCCTTGCAAAGTTTGATTTTCCCTTCTCTTCCTCATTCCCACAAAGTACATAAAGGATCTGATCTCTGAGCAGTCCATGCACCTTATGCCTGTCCATTAGAAAGACAATACTTTCCATTTATTTAAACCAGGAAATGAATTCCCCATTCTCTCTGTACATTTCCGTTGCATTCCTCTCCTGTCCCATCAGTTCAGGAATGAAAGCTTCATGCTGCTTGTCATTAAAAGGAAGAATATTGTTATTTTATTGTATGATTGTTATGATTATTATTATTTTATTATTATTATATTTTACTCTGGGTTTTAATTGCACACGCATTCCT